AAACAAGGCTTTGGGCATGTTTTTAATGAGAGTATAACATCATAACGTGATTTAAAACTCAAAAAAGTTGATTTTACATGATGTTGCCTCTTTAAAGACTTCCCCTTTGATGTCACTTCCTGATTCACTTTGATGAACCAAGTTCAAAAGAAAGTATACCAGGTATGTGACAAAGAGGGTAAATCATGTGTGTTATATCAAGTTTCTTAAATATAAAGGTTTGTTCTTTGACATTTTGTATTAGAGGGACATGAATGTCACAGGCATTTTAAAAGATGAAAACACAAATTAAACTAAATCCAGGAATCACAAAAAAACTTACATACAACAAAAGACTTTAAACTAACAAAAAAAAAAACAGATCATAATAATGTCACTGATTCATATCAAATCATTTACCTCCACTCGGGCTGTTTTTAGTGCACTGGTCACGTGACTGCGTCCGCTCAACACCTATGTGCGTACAAACTCTGGTTCTTGGCTGTACGATGGGTTAGTGGTTGGCACTGATGCCTCACAGAAAGAAGGTCTTGGGTCTGATCCCCATTTCGGACCCGGGGTCTTTCTGTCTGGAGTTCACATCTCTTCGTACTTGTGTGAGTTTTCTCCAGTACTCCAGTTTCCTCCCACAGAACAAAAACATGTACAGTAAACGACCATCAGGTCTTCCTTGCACAAGAGATGTGGGATTTCAATGGTATTTGCCTGGTTAAATAAAAGTTAATAAAAWAACAGAAATCAATCACAGTGCAAGGTTTATCTAAGTTTAAAGAAATTTGGGAAAATGGCATCAAACTCCACCGGGAGGACCACAAACCCTTGTGCTACGGTTCTTGTAACAGTGACTCAGGATACAGCYGTCGTCCCCACAAACTAAGATACTAGCTAACTGCTGGATTCCAGTAATGGGACAAGCTAATTTTGACTGGAAAAAGTGCAACCATGGACCTAACGTCTGCTCCAAATTCTGCTGCTTCCAGTCTGTTGAAAACCTCGACCCTTCAGCCAACCTTTCAACTGAACCTTCCTGTAATTCCTGAAGTCAGCTGCGTTGAACTTCACTCTATAGGAACATCTTTTGCTGTTACGGTGATACCATTTAACGCCGGTTGAATCCATGCCACTTACCCCATTCATCTAAGCCTGGCYCTTCCCTTCCTACGCAGCTCCGCTCAATTCTAGTTTCCCTTCTCTGCTCCGTCTGGCATTTCTCCCATAGACAAGGATTTCACTGGCAGTTTTTTAGCCGGGCCAATCACAGAACAGAACGTCAATTTTCTGTGCAGTGTCTGCTTGTAGTTTATTTTACCTGGGCCAATCAGCAAACAGAAGGAGGAGTTTTGAACGACGTYGATTTTCTGCGCAGTGTCTGCTAGTTATTTTAGCATACGGCAGTGGAGGAAGTGAATGAAGCCAGTCCGTGTTGATAAGGCTTCCAAATTAAATTAAATTTGTCTGACAAAGCAGCAGTTCTCATTTACAGTCGTCTCGTTTGGCTCGGTACTTCTCTCCTCTCAGTAGGGTTGTTTACAGCGCACGCTATTTCTGGCTAGCTTCTTAGCTTAGCCTCCTTCACAACGACACACACACACTTCAGTAGAGGCCACGCCTCCTGCAGGAATCGCTTCTCTATGACCGCAAGTCCAGACCCTCGTACAAAGCAAAGGGAAGGACAGGGTCTGGTTTTTACCAGGCTACATTCGTCTGGGTTACCTGTGAGAAAGCAGCGGATTATCTGTGATGTCATGACTGGAGATCCCCTTTGAGTTTTGCTCAGAAGCCCCAACTTCATTACAAAACTGCACTAAAAATAAACATTTAAAGTGGGAAAAAAAGCAAATATATTTAATTAACCTGTGGTCCAGACCATCAAAATGATTTCCTGTAGTAAAAAAATCTATAACCTGATTAACGTGTTAAAGAAGTGAAATTAATTCATTTTTAGCCCTTACGTCCTCCAGTCTAATTTTGCAAAAAATACAGGTTGTTCTGTTGAAACTTGTTGGCTTTAAAAGTTTCATTGATATAAAATACTGAAAATATCTAAGCCAAGTTTGCTGTGGGGTACTGAGAAAAAAAACTAATCCAACATGCCAAATAATTGAGAAACAAATGACGTTTACTGAACACAACATAAAGGCTTCTGTTKTTCCAACCCTGGGAGGTAAAAGACTTCTTCAGCCATTTGAAAAAGTCTATTCTTCAGGGAAGTAGATCATTATTTAGTGTTTAAAGGCAGCCACAGCTTCCCTTCTTAAAACACCGTAACCATTATCTGCATTCTTAGAAAGAGTATTCTCGTAATTGAGTGTGAGGAACGAGAGGAAAGGTCAAACTGTAAAAGTGAAAAAGGTTTTTTTTCAGCTCCTCTGATGGGAGACTTTAGAAAGCTACTGTTCTGGACAGCTTCCAGCCCTGCTGGCTGCTGCCAAGACTGAAAAAAAAAACTGTAGAAAGCTTCAGCCTTAGTTCAGCTTCTTACAACAGAGGATCTGTGATTTTAATGTGAACATGCTGGTTTAGCCCTTTTTGATTGAAGTTTACCAGCAGTTTTAATCAGAATCACAGCTTGTGTGAAATGTTGCTGTGAAAACCATCTGCACTCATTTACYGAAGGACGTTCTTTGTGGACAGCTGATTTCAGGTTGTTCTTCACCGCTCTGCTGTTCCTTCTTGTGTATCTGCTCACCATATTTTTTGTATTTCTTCCGATCTTAACGTCAGGGGAAATGTAAAGTACGGGGTTTTCTGGAGCCACATCAGCCAGAGGGTAATTTTCTAAATGGCAGTGCTGCGCAGAAACCCTCTAAACCTGGGACTTTGATTTCTCGGTCCGCTGATTGCAGGGTTGTAGAAGTACGAGATGTTCAGCAGCTGTGGTGTTTTCTCTGCTCCGTTCTGTGACGGCTTGTTGATGTGGGCTCTCGTCGTTTTTTTTTTTTTTACAGACGAGGCAGAGCTCGCTCTCACACCCTCAGCAGCCCCCCGTGTTTAACTTCAGCCTCACGGTGAATACCAGTCTCAGGTCTTTATTTGTGCTTTTGTTCTTGCWGCCAAGGCTGTAATCAGGAAGTTCATTCAAGGTTTCCAAACCCCTTCACCCACGATTTCATCAGCTGATCTTTGCTCCTCAGCCTTCAGAACCCAGCTGCATGCTGGGAGGAACACTAAACCAAACATGCCTGATTCTTGCTCAGATTTGTTGGTTTTTCTGCAGCATTTAGTCCTATAACCTTTTTAATTGTATTAAAAAAGGATTAGTTTTGCATTGGGATTATGGAGGACCAAACCTGACATAATTTAAAATACAAGCAGAAATATATAAAC